GTCGCGTCCCCGTCCCCCGTCGTGTCGTGTCGTCGTGCCGGCGCGAGCGCGCCGTGAGCTCCCGGGCGAACAGTCGCCCCAGGCGGGAGGCAAGGGCGCCACGTGCTGAGGCCGCTGGCCCACCCTGCGGCGGGCGCGCCACCGGCGCGCTTGCTCGGGGTGCCGAGACCAGGGGCACTCGCTCGTGGGCGCGAGCACGCGGGTTTAAACTCGTCCTCCTCCCCCTCCTCCTCCTCCTCCTCCTCCTCCCCCTCCTCCTCCTCCTCCTCCTCCTCCTCCTCCTCCTCCTTCTCCTCCTCCTCCTCTTCCTCCTCCTCCTCCTCCTCCTCCTACTCCTCCTACTCCTCCTCCTCCATCCTCCCTCCTCCTCCTCCGCCTTCCCCTCCTACTCCTCCTCCTCCTCCTCCTCCTCCTCCTCCTCCTCCTCGCTTCCTCCTCCTCACTCCTCCTCCCCGCGTCCTCTCCCCCCCCTCCCGCCGCGGCTCACCCGCCCCGCTTCGCGGGTGTTTTGCCCGCCGACGGCCGGCCCCGAACCGCTGGGCCCCGAAGACCCCCTCTGGGAGCCGCCGCGGGGGGAGGGAAGGGAGGAGGGAGGGGGGGTGGGTGATGGGGGGGGGGGGGAAGGGAGGGGGTGGGATGGAGGGAGGGGGGGGGGGGTGGGGGGGGGGGAGGGGGGGGGGGGGAGGGAGGGAGGGGGAAAGGGAGGGAGGGAGGGGGAGGGAGGGCGGGGGGAGGGGGCCGCCGGCGGTGCGTTGGTGCCCAGGGGAACAAAAAGTGGCGCTAGCATAGAAACTCGGAGGTCCGCGCGGATACCTCGGATCGGCGCTGGACCCCCCTCCCTGGCGCGCGGAGCGCGCCAGGGGCGGCGCCGGAGGCGCCGCCGGGGAGGGGGGCCCAGCGCCGATTCGAGAAATCCGCGCGGACCTCCGAGTTCTATGTTTCTGTCACTTTTTGTTCCCCTAGTGCCGGGTCCGGCTCCCGCCAAGGAGCCTTTGCGGGCCCTCGAAGGAGCCGAGGTTCGCCGGGCGCGTTCCACTGCTCGCAGAGTGCCTACTCGCAGACGTCCGAAATAAGTAGGTATTCCTTTGTGTAGTATCTGGTAAATTCCCCGTGGTGGACCCAGACAATTTGCGAGTAGTTGATTTGCGAGTATCAAGCAGTGGCGAAGCGTTTTGGCGCGCCTATAGCCCCGACAAGCAATGTGCTAAGAACCTTTTGTGGTTCCCACGAAATTTTCTTAGAACACTTTTGGCTGGGACTTTCTTGTTTTTACACATCGGGTTTATGTTCTAAAAACATTGTTTTTGTTCTTAGAACATTTGTGGGTTCTAAGAACACTTCGTGGTATGACTATAGGAATGCCGGGACGGTCGGCCCCTGCTCAAGAGTAATGGAATGCGCCTGTCCAAAGGTGGGCCCAGCGGGCCCTCCCACCTCCCCTTTTCCCTCCCCTCCACCCGCCCCCTCACCCCTGGGAGGGAGGACGGGTCGCTTCGCGGTGACGTCCCGCACCCCTGGCGTGGCAGCCGTAGGCCCAGAGGGGCGGTTGCTTGTCCACGCCGGGGTGTGCTCAAGCGGCCCGCGGGCGGGAGTCCCGGCCGCAGGTCCGATAGGCAAGTCCCCCTCCATCCCTCCCTTTTCCCTCCTCCCCCTCCCTCCCCCCCCCCCCTCCCTCCTCCCTTTCTCCCCCCTCCCCCTCTCTCCCTCCTAATTTCCCTCCTCCCACCTCCCTCCCTCCTCCTCCTCCCTCCTCCCTTCTCCCCCCTCCCCTCCCTCCCTCCTGCCCTCCTCCCCCCTCCCTCCCTCCCTCCCTCCGTGGGCGCGGAGCGCGCCAGGGGTGTGTGGGTGCAGCTGCTGGCCAGAGAGCTCCTCGCGGACCTCCCAGGGCCCATGCTTACTTTTTTTTTAAGTCGGGCGTGTCCTTCTCCAGGAGGATATCTTCAAACGTAGTAAAAAATAGTCATGTGATTGCGATCGTAGTAGTGGAAAATATGATCTAAAGTAGTTCTAAAGTAGTACGTATGAAAGTAGAAAAGTAGTTCTAAAGTAGTTCTTACAAATGACTTACAATACAAAAGTAAGAAATATGATATAGTTCTAAAGTAGTTCTGGGGACGATGTTTTGATTTGTTTCCAATGCGTGTCCCTGTCCAGGAGGATATCTTTCGGGAACGGCACAGAGGGGGGTGATGACCAGGGGGGGCGGATATCATGGCGTGGGCCATGATATTTCCGCAGATATTATAGCGCCTCTTCGTATTCCATTACGTCCCTGGCCCCCCCGCTGGGCCGCGCACGTGCCGCCAGTCATGATTTGCACCCCCCCTCTTAGACCCCCCCTCTTGGCCGCTCCCGAATGTTCAAGAGTAGTAAAAAATAGTCTGGGGACGATGTCTTGATTTGTTTCCAATGCTTTTGAGTTGTGCTGGCCTCCGGCTAGTGCCGCCGATCCGGGGCGCTCCGGATGATGATGGTGATGGTGATGTTGATGATGATGATAATGATGATGATGATGATGATGATGATGATGATGATGATGATGATGATGATGATGATGATGATGATGATGATGATGATGTTGATGATTATGCTTATGATGATGATTTTGAGTATGCGTATGATGCTGATGATAAGGATGCATAATATTGTTATGATGATGTTTATCCTGGTAATGGCCATGGGGCCTTTTTGGGCGTCTTGGACCGATCGTTCGGTGATTCGGGGCTTTCTTGGGCCGTCTTGAGGGCCTCTTGGGGCCCTGTTAGCCCGTCTTGGGCTTCTCTTGGGCTCGAAAAAATCATGCGGCAACATGTTTGGGGGCCCAGTTGTCGCGGGGAGCCTCGAAAGATTAGAGAGCTTGGTGTCCAGGCCCGTTGAAATTCTCAGGCTTAAGGACTGCTGGTGTCCAGACCCGTTAAGAATCCTCAGGCTTAAGGACTGAGGCCCAGGGGATTGAGCAAGGGACCTGGGGAAGCCTCTTGGGGGGTCGTTTTGGGGCCTTTTTCGGGCCTCTGGGGGGCCTTCTGGGGCCTCCTGGGGGCTTCTTGGGGGCTTATGGGTCATCCCGCCCCCGAGCACTAAGTGCGTCGTCGGGAATGGCGTCCCTCCCCCCCCTTCCAGAGCCTCCTGGGTTTTTGGGGGGGGCCTGTGGGCCCCCCCGCCCCCGAACATGAATTGCGTCGGGAATGGCGTCCCCCCCCCCCTTGCAGAGCGAAGCTTGAGCGAGCTCAAGTCCACGCTCTCAGAAACTCACGCGCCGGATCGGCAGATGTTTTGTGTATGTATGATCTGTCGTGCAACATCCGCCTGTAGGGGGTCATGCCCGACCTAGGCTTACTTTTCTTTTTCTCGGCGGCCAACGAGGGGGGAAAGTGAGAAGGAGAAAGTCTTCTCGAAAGTCGACGGGGCTTCTGGAAGGCCTTCGGCCTTCTGGTAGGTGTCTTGCGTGTTCGGGGAAAGCTTAGACAACTTCCCAGAAGGCCGGGGGACTTCCGAACCTGCTGAGAGGGCCCACCCCTTCTCACTTTCCCCCCGGACTCGCCGCCGAACCTTTCTTTCCCTTCGCAAATGTGCGGCATGCTGTTCTGATTAGGTTGGCACCGAGGTGCATAACCATCGCGCAGGTGAGTGGTCGCAAACCGTTGGGTTTGTAAGGGGGGAACAACACACGGCACTGGCCCCACCATGCCTGGTATCGCGCTGGACCAGACCAGGGCAGCACAAATACACACCAATCAATGGGTGACGCTCCCGGTGAACTGCACATCGCTTCCTGCGGGGGCAACGATAGGGAGGGGGGCTAGCCCAGGGGGGACGTATCGAACCCCGCACCGTCGTAGGGGCACGATCGCCCGCCACGCCCGGGAACCTGCGGTTTCGATATCGGAGGCCTATCGTCACACGAATCGTCGTTGTGTTATCGATTCGATCTCGAGGTTCCCCCCCCTTGAGTTGATCCCCCCCTATCGTTCCCCCTCCTGTTTGACAACTCGAGTGCTTCTAAGCACTCCTGGCCCTCGCCACAGCGTGCACTTCTTGTGCATCGCAGCCTGGAAGGGATATGTATAAACAGACAGAAGACGAGCGCCGGGGAAGGCGAAGACGAGGAGGAGGAGGATGAGGAGGAGGAGGAGGAGGAGAAGGAGGAGGAGGAGGAGGGGAAGATTGAAAAGGAAGGAATGAAGATGAGGACGGTTCGAGAGGTGCCAGGGATGATAATGATTGCAGGAGGAGGAGGGAGAGGAGGAGGAGGAGCAGGACTTTTGGAGGAGGCAGGAGGAGGAGGAGGAGAGAGGAGGAGGAGGAGGAGGAGGAGGAGGAGGAGGAGAGAGGAGGAGGAGGAGGAGGAGGAGGAGGAGGAGGAGGAGGAGGAGGGTCAGAGCCGCAGCAGCGGCAGGCGGCAGCTTCAGCAGCAGCGGCGGCAGCGGCAGGCGGCAGTCAGGCGGCGAGCCGGAGCAGAACGAGGTCCTCCTCCTCCTCCTCCTCCTCCTCCCCCTCCTCCTCCTCCGCCTCCTCCGCCTCCTCCTCCTCCTCCTCCTCTATATATGGGCATGACGCGCACTGCAGCGCTCCTGCAGCACATTCCGCTGCGACCGCCCTGGTGTCGGTCCAGGGGCCCTCTCGGTGTGTCGATCTTTTGTTTCGCGAGCCGCAGCCAGAGGAGCGGCGGCGCCGTGGGGGGGGGGGGGGGGGGGCAGATGCAAGTGAGCACATGCCGAATAAGAAACAACGCCATTAACATGAACTGTTGGCGCTCCGCGCGGATCTCTTTGATTCCTTGGATCCGAAATAGGCACCACCGCCCCGGCGGCGCCTCCGGCGCCGCCCCTGGCGCCGCCCCTGGCGCCGCCCCCGGCGCCGCCCTTGGCGCGCTCCGCGCGCCAGGGAGGGGGGTCCAGCGCAGATCCAAGAAATCTGTGCGGACCGTCGAAAGTTTATGTCTATGCCGTTTTTTCTTCTTCTAACATGCTGCCGGAAGCAGAGAGACAGCTCCCGCGCAGGTGTCCCGAGCACCCGGAGGACCGTCGGGCATCAATGGGATTGGGGAGACGTCGGAGGTTGCCACGGTTGAAGGAAAACGGGTGCAACAAATGTTCGAGGAACCCCTACGTAGAACCCCCCTCCGCCCCCCAGCCTCAAGATCTGAAACAAGCGCTCCTTGCTGAGAGGGGCCAGCAACATCTCCAGCCTGACATCTCGAAGCGCATAATTGCCAGTGTTGAGGCCGGGGGACGGACGGGGGAATTCGGTCATTCTTAGCTCGGGCGCTGTCGTTGCAATGCTTGTCTCCTGCAACGGCAGAGCCTCGAACTTGCTGTCAGCGAGTTGCCCTTGTTCGGTTCTCGAGGGGGTGTGGCGGCCGCAATCTCCTTTCGGGCCCCTTGCCCGCGGGGTCCAGTCCCCGGTCGCTTTCACTACATGCTCTGTTGTGCCAAAGGGGTTCTGTCGACCCCCGAACGCGGACGAGAATAACCCATCCTTCTTCGCCTCGTGAGACGGGATGTTTTTTTTCTCTTTTTTTTTTGTCATTTTCGGCCCTACGGGGCTCCAGGACCGTCGAGCAAGGACCCCGGATGAATCACTCGGGGCGGAGATCCCCAGATGTGCATCTCATACTCCTCTCAGCCACAAGCAGAAGGGGGGTATGGGAGGGGGAAGGCTTCTTAGAATCACCCATGCTTCTTGGAAGGCGCGGGCCTTGTCTATAGATGTAGGGCCGGCGCCTTCGAAGAAGCGGCCTCCTTCTAAGAAGCGCCTTCTCCCTTCCCCCTAACCCCTTTGTGCGCGCCGCCAATCCTCGCCTCTTGAGACGCGACGTTTTTCCCATTTTCTGCCCCACTGGGCTCCAGGACCGTCGGACAACAAGCCGGGAGGAAAACACTGTTCCCAGGAAGTGGTCGAGATCTCCAGGGGTCCTCGTGGTGCAAAAAGAAGCGGGTGCCGGAGGTTTGGGAGGGACGGGGGTGCGTCCTTGCCTCGCCCTCTCAAGCTTCTCTTCTCTTTTCCCCCCGCCCCCACCTTCCTCCTGCCGCTACCCGTCGTCCGCTCGGGACCAGCGATCGGCGGGGATGCGGTCCAGAACTTGGGCCCAGCGCATCGCGCAGGCTGCATCTGGCTGAGCACCCTTCGGCGCGGCGCGCTACAGTCGGGGCGCTGAAGAAGGAACCCTTTTCGTTTGGGATGGGCTCAGTGCTCCTCGATTGGAGTGCAGTGTGTACGAGAGCTCCTTCGGTTTCCGACGGGAAATCGAAGTTTAACATGTGGAGAAAAGGGGCTTCGTTCCTTATTTATCGGGGGTGGACAGACCTCCGACCCTGACACGTCGATTAAGGAATTGGCCGTTTTTGGTTCGCGAGAGGGCGTCGCGGCCGTCCTTCTTGCGGGTCCGGGTCCGTCGGTTTCGGTCCCAAGCCGTTTTCACTAAGGGGAGGTTTGTCCACCGCCGTTTTTCCTGGCATCGCTCGGGCGTGTGCATTTTTCCTTCGGCGAAGACCATCGAGGAGCATCCTTGATCATTTGGCGAGAAAACCACGCACGAAACCGAACAAAAACACAGGAAATCAAGGTCCGAGCGATGGCCAGATTTAGGTTCCTTAGGCCAACGCCCCGACTGTAGCCGTGTCGCAGCCCTCTTATCTTTGCGTCCACGCGAGGAGGTCGTCCTCTTGGCATCGCTCGGACGTGTGTTTTTTTTCCTTCGGCGAGGACCATCGAAGAGCATCCTTGATCATTTGGCGCAAAAGCCACGCACGAAACCGACAAAAAACACAGGGAATGGACGTCCGAGCGATGGCGAGTGTTCCTGTCTCGGGGGTGGACAGACCCCCCACCCTGACACGTCGATTCGTGAATTGTCCGTTTTTCGGTTCTCGAGAAGGCGCCGCGGCCGTCATCTTCCAGGCTGGCGCCCGCCAGGTTTGGGCCCGAGGTCGTTTTCACTAAACCACGTTTTACTAAAGGGGTTCCGTCCATCCCCGACTTTCTCTGTCGGCGAGGACCATCGAAGAGGATGTTGGATCAGGGCTGGACCTAAACGGTGTTTCGGCGATGTCGTGGGCCGTTCTCGTTTCGACTTCGTTCTGCGGCAGAGGCGGATTGAAGACAAAACGAGGGACAACGAAAACAAATCGAGAACGAAAAGCACCGTTTAAGTTCAGCCCTGTGTTGGATCATCTTGCGGAAAACTACTCTTTGCTCCGGCGGCGAGGCAGGGGTCGTCTGCGCACCGTGGAAGCGAGTTGCGAGAAGAGTGCACGCGCAAAGCCGAAGAATGCACAGGGGATGGACGTCCGAGCGATGGCAAGGACACGTTCGCGCGGCTCTCCAGTGGTCTGCGCCCCTTCTCGAGGACCGGCTGGTCATCTCGAGCAGCTTGTCTTCACGGTCCTGCGGCCTGGTGAGGGCCCCCAGAGGCCCGGCGGCCGACCACAGCCATAAGCCGCCCGTTGTGGCTTCAAGGCGCGAGCTCGTCAGGGCTCGTCGTCGTCGTCGTCGTCGTCGTCGTCCTTCCTCCCTGCCTCCCTCGGCCTCCTTGCCCTTCTTCGCGCACGTGTTGGGCAGCCGGCCTCGCTGGCCCCCCTTCGCCAGGCCAGGGAGGAGGGCACGTGCGCCGCCCAGCTTTCTGGTGCTGGCCGTGCTCAGCCGGCTCCACCTGAGCGACGCAAAAAACGGGGCCGTCTGCGCCGACATCGGCGCGTGTAAGCTGCCCGCGTAAGGTCGCGCGTCAGCGCCCTCGTCTCCAAGGTGGCGTGTCGCGCGGGCGGCCCGCGTAAGCTGCGGCGTAAGGTCGCTACGTCATCTCGTGTAGGACCCCTTTTTCATCGTCGCTCATTGTAGGCGCGCTCCAGAGACCGCCTTGTTTTCGGCGCATCTGTTCGCCCCCTCGGCGGAGCCTCCGGGGAGGCGGCGGGGACAGACAGCACGGGGGCGGCGGCACCGCGGGCGGAGTCGGGCGGAGGCCAGAGGAAGCAAACGCCGCTCCCCTCATAAAGAGAGATGCACATTTTCTTTTGTCAAGCAGTGGTGATGCGTCCTGGCGTGAGAACCTTGTGTGATCTGCACGAGATTTTCTTAGACCATTTCTGGCTGAGACTGTTTTGTTTTCACACATCGGGCTTATGTCTTAAGAACATGGTTTACGTTCCCAGCGTATTTTTGGGTTCTAGGAGCATCCCGTGGCAGGCCTATAGGAATGTCGGGACGGTCGGCCCCTGCTCAATCTTGGGGAGCTCGGGACTTCCAGAGCCTGCTGCCTGTGGACTGCGGCGCGACCGAGCGAGGGGAAGGAGACGGACATCGCTCCCCGGAGGCCTGTGGGGATCCCACGGATCGGCGCTGGCCCCCGCTGGCGCCTCCACGGGCGCCGCCCCTGCCCTGGCTCGCTCCGCGCGCGGGCGTGGAAAACGACCACGGCCACTGCTTTTCTTTTGTCGACGCCTTCCAGCCCGCAGCAACAAAGCAGTGGTTGTGGTCATTGTCGTTGAGCCTGGCACCAGGGAGATGACCGCAACCACTGCTTCTTTTTCGGCCGGCTGGGAGGCGGCGCAGACAAGAAGCAGTGGCTGTGGTCATTTTCCCGTCCTGCAGTTATACCTACTCTAGCCCTGATCACCAGGAAGAATTTCGAGCGCCCAAAGCGGTGCCGAAACTCAAGGGTTTTCACGTGCCAGGCCCTGGGAGACACTCGCCCGACACCGTTTCGACACTGTTTCGATACTGTTTTGACACTTCTGTGGGTGTTCGAGATTATTCCTGGGATGCGGTCCTTCAGTACGATGGGAAAAACATAAGTCCAGCGCCAATCCGAGAAGTCTGGCGGACCTCCGAGAGTCGAGTGACCCCGCAGAGCGGGAGTCGCGGCGGGCCCCCTGGGGGGGGAGTGTGCATGCAGAGTTTTGCAATCGGCGGGTGTTGGGGATGTTGCCTCTCGGATGGAGTGTTTCTAGGGGGCGTATGTGCGCCCCCATGGGGAGTTTGGCAGTCTTGCAGGCCGGATGAGGGCATTTCTGAGTCCATGTGACACGACGTGCGCGAGGGGTGTGCCGAATTGGGCCTCCAATCGTCAAGAACAACAGGGCCCCGAGCTCTCAAAACACCATGAAGACGTGGCCTATTCTACTTCCCCGCTTTTGCAGTAGGGATCCTAGATCTGGGCAGCCTGTTTTGATACAGCTGCTGAAAAAGGCCCCCTTTATCCCCAATGTTTTGGTCTCTTAGCTTTGGTCCGCTCTCAAGGGGTACTTGCGAATCATCCAAGGGCAATCCACTTGTATTCTCATGCATCCTACGAGTCTCGAGGCCCAAGTCAGTAGTTGTTGTTTTCCCTGGAGTGTCCCGAGAGCCTGAGAGCGCTGATCACTTGTATGTTCACGCGTCCCAGTAGAATGTGGTGCAGGACGCGCGGACGGGGCGCGCAGGGGAGTGGGTCCAGCGCCGACACACGCAAGCTGCGCGGACCTCAGAAAGTGTAGGCTTACGACAGGTTCGCCTCGTGTCGACGCGGCGGCGACCCCAGCGCGGGCGTTCAAGGTTGATCGCAGCCGGTGACCTTGAACTGGCCGACACTGAACAATCCGCACTCACAGCACGTCGTGATTCTTCAAGGCCGAATGATTCGCGCGGTGTCAGAAGCCACCGCGCCAGGCGTCACGACACGAATTCGTCGTATGCTGTTTTCTCGGCGGCCGTTTTTTGAGCTCAATGCCCGCACAGCCTAGTTGAAAAAAGGCACAGCAGCGGCGGCTGGGAAACCACTGCTGGCAGCGAGGGAGACCTCACTGACCGAAAGAGTACCTCCAGCAGCCCCATGGGCTAGGAGGCACTGGCCACACGACGGGCGACCGCCCCGTGGCCAGAGCAAGAGAAAAACAGTCCAGCGCCTCAGCAGGGCATACAGTCGGGGCGCTGAAAAAGGAACCCTTTTCGTTGGGGAGGGGCTCCGTGTTCCTGAGTTGTTTCGCAGTTTGCCTTGGGTTGTCCTGAGGTTTCCCACGGGAAATCGAAGTTCAACGTGTGGAGAAGAGGGGCATATCGTTCCTCATCCAGGGTCCCTCAAGGTCAACGCCCCGACTGTACGGTCGGGGAGGGGGGGCAGGGCCTGTCCGAGGGCCTGCGGGTCCTCGCGGAGGCCCCCGCGCAGGCCTGCCGCGGGAGGCCACGGGCGGCCTCCCCAGCAGGTGCGCGAGGGCTCCCGAGCAGACCCGCCGCCCCCCTCCTCCTCGCTCCTCCTCCTCCTCGCTCCTCCTCCTCGCTCCTCCTCCTCCTTCCTCCTCCTCCTCCTCCTCCTCCTCCTCCTCTCCTCCTGCCCCTCCTGCCCCTCCTCCTCCTCCTCCTCCTCCTCCTCCTGCCTCTCCTGCCCCTCCTCCTCCTCCTCCTCCTCCTCCCGACGGCCTGCCCCCTCTCGCGCCCCTCGCCCGCGTTTTCTGCGCTCCTCCACCTCGGCGATCGGCGCTCGACACGCACCCCTGCTGCCGCGGCCCCCCACTCTGGGCGCCGGGCGGAGCCGCGTTTTTCGCGCTCCTCCACCTCGGCGATCGGCCTTCGACCCGTATACCCCTGCTGCCGCGGCCCCCCATTCTGTGGGCGCAAGGCGGAGAAGGGTACAGATAACAACAGCGTGGCCTCGGAGGCCAGGACTTTGTCCACGTCCCCGCCCCGGCCCCTCGTGGGGGTCGGGGCGCGAGAGGGAGCATGGATACACAGGTTTGACCGCCTTTAGCCGAGGAGCCGGCCACCTACTTCTGCGCCACCTGCGAGTGCCCCTGCATCTGCGCGGAGTGCGTGGTGCAGCGGAACGGGCGGCACCGGGACCACGAGGCGTGCCCCGGGAGTCGGCTGCCCCTTCCGCCGCCGCTGCCGCCGCCAGCACCGGCGGCTGATGCCATTGCTGCGCCACGTCCAGAGAGTTTCGACGTTCATTTCCAGGTTCGACGATGGTTTCCAGAGGAGCGAGTGGAGAAGCACGGGGTCCATGGCCAGTGTGTCGCGGGGTCTCGTCGACGCCGAGCTCGGTCATGGTCCATGCTGGTCGTCGCCGATCCGCGAGGGTGATCCGCATAGTGGCGCTGACCACGATGGGTGCCCACCGAGATCGGCACGACGCTTCCGCGTGCAGTTTTTGTTATGGTCCCCGTTTGCGTCCCCTCCCGGGGAGTCCGAGCCCACCTGGGCGACGGTTGGGTCCGGTCGCGTTCGTCTATAGGAGTTACCCACCACGGCGACGACGACGACGAGGAGGAGGAGGAGGAGGAGGAGGAGCAGGAGGAGGAGGATGACGACGACGAGGAGGATGATGATGAAGATGACGTCGACGACGACGACGATGATGGCGCCGCCGCCGCTGCCTGGTAGGTGCTCGCTATGAACCTGAGTTCGCAGCCCCTCGCAAGGCCGCTGCTGCCCCTTCCAGGGTCTGCTTCTGCCACCAGGGCGGCCCGCCGCCGACGCGGCGGCGGCGAGCGGAGAGTGCTCCTCGACCCCCTTCCTCCTCCTCCTCCACCTCCTCCTCCTTCTCCACCTCCTCCTCCTCCTCCACCTCCTCCTCCTCCTCCTTCTCCTCCTCCTCCTGCTCCTCCTCCTCCTGCTCCTCCTACCCCCCCTCCTTGTCCCCCACCCTCCTCCCCCTTCCAGGGAGGGTACCGTCCCCCAAAAATGGCAGCAGCGTTTTCCTGGGCCTCCAAGCCGGGGCCCGAGCAGGCGGGGTCAAAGGATCGCTCCGCATCGCCAGCATCGGCGATGCGGCTTGACGTGGAGCCCGATTTTCTCCACGCCGACGTCGTCGATGCACCGGCGACCTTCGCCGATGCATTGCCGATGCAGTGCCGATGCATCGTGATGCATCGCCATGCATCGGCGATGCATGGGCGAGGCGTCGGCGATGTGGCGCGATCCTTCCACCCCATCAACTCGGACCCCATTTGGGAGGCCGCCAGTTCTCTCCGGGAGATCCGGTGGCTCGGGAAAAAGACGAGGCGGGCGGTTCTGGAGGTTCTGCCCTGAGGTTCCAGCGTTGCGATGGTTGCGCCATGCGCGTTTTCGGCCGTCTTCTGGCCACGGGATCATGACGGACCGACCGGGCTTTGAGAATGATGCCGAAAGATTGGGCTCATGCCTCCTGTCGTGATGTTTCACGACGTTGCAGTTCTTCGTTACGTCGGATCTCGAATTCTTCCTTGCCGCGGCTGGGCCCAGCTTGGGGAGCTGGCCTGGATGTATCCCAGGAGGTGCTTGTCCTGTAGAGATGTTATGTTGCAGGCCATACCGGTGGCAACACCCACAACTCTCTACCTCCAACCTCACTGTGCGCTGCCCTCAGTGCGCGCGCGTCTCTGGGGGGCATCCCGACTCATAGTGCGGGATCTGTCCCCCAGGGGGTGGGCACATGTAGATATAGAGGAACGAAGAACGACATAAACATAACAACTCGGAGGTCCGCGCGCATTTCTCGGATCCGCGCGGCGTGCGGAGCGCGCCAGGGGCGGCGCCGCAGGCGCCGCCAGGGAGGTCCAGCGTGGATCCGAGAAATCCGCGCGGACCTCCGAGTTTTTATATGTTTATGTCATTCTTCGCTCCCCTAAGGTAGGCTCTCAGGCACAATCATCCCTTCCACAGTCCCCCCCTCCCCTGGTTGGTGCACCAGGTGCTCCCCTGGCCGAGGAGCGGCCACCGCACCTTGACACGAGCGCTGCCCCCTATGAGGCACGGCGCTCTCCGCCGATCTCTGCCGAGCTGGAGGAGGAGGAGGAGGAGGAGGAGGAGGAGGAGGAGGAGGAGGAGGAGGAGGAGGAGGAGGAGGAGGAGGGGGAGGGGGAGGGGGAGGGGGAGGGGGAGGAGGAGGAGGAGGAGGGGGGTCGAGGAGCACTCTCCGCTCGCCGCCGGCGCGTCGGCGGCGGGCCGCCCTGGTGGCAGAAGCAGACCCTGGAAGGGGCAGTCTGTCCCTCCGCTGTCGGAACCGCCCCTTCTTCTACTTCTCGGCGGTTCCAACAGGGCGCCCTGCTGGCTGGGGCCCGAAGCACGAGGGGCCTCAGACAATGTGAGTGCACAACCTGGGCTCCTTTCCTGTCCTTCGGGCCCCCATCTCCAAGGACCCCATTTTGGAACCGCCGAATGTCCGCCGCTTCCGCCGGCCCTCCGCCGCCGTCCGCCAAAGAGGAGACGCCAACTCCTTCGGCCCTCGAAGGCGAGGCACTTCGGGGTCCGTTTCGACCCGGCCGATCAGATTCGACATCGATTTTGGCCGTGCCAGTCCGATGCGGTTCCGAAATT